CTCCCCCAACAAATGTTTGAGACTAGCTCCCATAAGATGCCTGGCTTATATTCCAGAAAATGTCCTGGATATGTTCCAGAAGGGAGTGTCTCTCAGGTTCTGAGTCGGAAAGGGAGCCAGGTACTGTTATGTAGTGTAGTTTCACCCTGGGCCAACAGGGGGATACTGTATATAGTTTTCACTCAGGTCTGTAGATAGTTTTCACTCAGGTCCGCGGCAGTTATTTTAGGCGGGAACTCTGGGCTGTTGTGGTTACAATGTTGACAGCCGGCTGCCTATAAATACAGGCCGGCTGAGCTGTTCGCAGTCAGTTCTATTCCAGCTTACCATAATAAAGAGCTACTTGAAGAAATCGCTGTGCCGGCTGCTATGTCAACCCACGACTTAACAGGTACAATGACCCTAATTTATACTCACCTTTTGAATCTCTTCCCATGGAAACATCCCTGCTTCCACCTCCTCTCTCTTTCCTTTCTTCACCACAATCAGGCCTCTGGACCTTTAATATCCACCTTTCCCCGTGTTGCAGATCTTCCCTGTTGGAGCACAGGTGGGGCTCTCCCTTGGGGTGGGGGGCGAGGAGTCCATGGCCCCCCACCCCAAAGGAGGACAGTGAGAGAGGCTTGGGCAGAGAATTCCTACAAGGATAGTGCTGTGTCCTGACTATGGGATGAGGAGGCACATTCCCTATCCATTATTGCCCAGGGGACTGATGGGGAATTATACGCCATTATAATTGCTCCGTGGTCTTTAGATGAAGTGTGATTAACAAATTTAATAAATAATAATTGCTCTGGTAAGCTCAAGATTAGATTGCTGCAATGTGTTATAGGTAGGGCTGCCTCTGAAGAGGGTTCAGTAACTTCAGCTGGTGCAGAATTCAGAGGCCCCCCACCTTAAAATAACTATGGAAAATCTACAGAGACTCCCAGGTTTGTGTTGTCTTTGCTTCTTCACAAGACAAACTTTTTTGAAGATTTTTACAGTAAAATAATAGCATCAATAACACTTATGCTTTACTTATTTGACAAACGAGAGACTCTGGTATGATGAGTCGGAGCTCATCTCCTTGCCCAAAACCAAAAAAAGAAAAACACTGAGCAGGAAAGATTGAGGGGTATGTCCTTTCAGTATGCACTGAGACCCTACAGTATGTGTAGCTCATTTAAACAAAATGACTGATCCAGTGAACAGCAGCAGTGAACAATGTGATAGTGAACTGACGTCTCTTGCCTTCACTGCCCTCTCACACTTGTTGTGAAGAATCATCTTTCATTATGAATGGTCTGTGTCACCATTAAGAAAAAGAAGTCACAATAGGCCAATATCTATGTGTACTGTCCCTGGATCAAAGGACATTTCTTCTTTAAGTTCTCAGAAGTTCTTAAACCTAGCACAAGGTTGTCCTTTGAACTAGCCAGATGTTTAACTGAGAATCAATCACAATCTGTCCATCATTTTAGAAATAAGACTTTAGAGCCCTCCTACCCCAAAATGGCAACTGTTGTTGTTGTTTAGTCGTTTAGTTGTGTCCGACTCTTCGTGACCCCCTGGACCAGAGCACGCCAGGCACTCCTGTCTTCCAATGCCTCCCGCAGTTTGGTCAAACTCATGCTGGTAGCTTTGAGAACACTGTCCAACCACCTCGTCCTCTGTTGTTCCCTTCTCCTTGTGCCCCCAATCTTTCCCAACATCAGGGTGTTTTCCAGGGAGTCTTCTCTTCTCATGACTCCTAGACATTCAATTTTGGGCGGCTGTAACCTTGATTTAACAATACATTTGGCACCTAGCTTCTATATATGAGTTTCTAACACTGATCCTGTTACCTCCACACACTGCTGCCTCTGTCCCCCTTAGTAGGAAGTCACGTACCACCATCACATCCCTCTTCCTCCGCTGGGGAGTGGTAGGAATTGCTCCATACCCTGCCCCTTCCATAGCCACCTTGGTGCGTTCTGAGGTCTGCATCTTGCTCCTCTGACCCAGAATTGATTTTGCAGCTCGAGTGACACATCAGGGTTCCTAACAGCCCCGTTTCTCTGTACCACATTCCTCCAGGTTTTCGTTTCCTGCAACCAGCAATCTTCCTCCTGGCTGGGGCCAACCCCACCTGTGTTGCTGTCCCAGGAACATCCACTCTGCTCTCTTTCGAGAAATCCCTCATCTTGCTCAGGAGCTCGTAGGGCAGATAGGCGGACCTCAGCTTGATGTTCCTTCTCTTACTGCATCTGCTGCAGGTGTAATTCTGCACATTCTCAGGCAGGAGGACAAACATTGCACAGGTGTGGCAGGTCACTGCAGCAGCTCCCTCGCCATCCATGTCTCTTGCTCCTACACACAGCATGAGACAGGACTCCTGGCCTCCCCCTCACACTCAGACTTAGAAGGGTGGTTTCTAAATCTAATAAATAAAAATTGGGGTGAGTGTTTCAATCTGGGATTCCAGCAGCCAGGCTCCAACAGCCTTTTCCCGCATCTCCAGCTCTCCCTCTGCACTGCAAGGCTGACAGATGGAGGTCCAGCTCCAAGGACATTAGCCTACCTGAGCACACCTTCAGTTTATTCCAAGCGCCAAGCCTTCTCACTAGTTCCAGGCTACAGTCCCTAGAAAAACCTGAACCCTGGGTCTCCCAATATGGTTGCTGCCACGGCTAAAATGGCCGCTGTTGCTTTAATGCGAATAAAGCTGGGTCAGCATGACTCAGCGGCCTGCACCAAGTTGTATATAGAGAGTGAGAAATGTTAGTTTGGTTGCTGGTGTTTGGGTTGGTTGGTTAGTTAGTTATTTAGTTAGTTAGTTAGTTAGTGCTGGTGTGTATAGTTATTCAGTCACTTTTGAACAAAGACTTTTAAGAATAAAACTCTGCAAGGATATTCTCGTGGACTCTTTTGTGCCGACAAGGGTTCAAGGACCAGGCTGAGGAGGCAAAGGGAGGTCAGAACCCTTTCCTCCTTTTTTGCTTTTTACAAACACTGATAGGTTATGGGCCCAGTGTTTCTGAGCATCTGCAGAGTGCAAAAACGGCTGACAGCATCTCAGCAGGGAGCTGGCGAGTCCTGGTGGTGTATGTGGCTGTGCATTGGAGCAGTTGGTGGCAAGCTGTAACTGTCTGCAGTGACGCTGGAGCGGCTAGGATCTGAGGCTAAGGAAAGCACTCTACTTCGGCTACTGGGACAGTTTGAACTGCTAGAGGACCACAGTAGTGGCTACACCAGTTGCAGAGCCAGGCGGGACCTGAAGGTCAACAGAGGCAGCAGCTAGAAGCCGGTGAGTGCCCGCCAGGACCATCCAGTTGGACTCTAAAGAGAGTCAGGAGAGATTGCTGGAGACCCCACAGAAGGGGCTCAGCAAGCACCAGCAGAGATGGCAGATTTCCAGTCTTCCCAAGTTGTAAATATTGGGGCAGGCATCCCTTTTGAACTTCTCTCAGAAAACAACTAGCTGAGTTGGTCAATTAAAATGCTGCAGTTGTTAAGGAGAGATGGACTATGGGACTGTGTTGAAACTGAGGTTTTGAGAACTGACTCTGCTGAGAAAAAACGGCTGGATGAAGGGGCTGGTGCCCAAATTATGCTTTGTTTGAGCAACTCTCAGTTATTGCATGTAGCAAATGCCAGCACAGCATTTGAGTGCTGTAATTTATTAAGGGCAAGTCAGAGAAACTGCTGGAACTATAATTTCTCTGACCAGAAGGCTGTTCAGGACTGTTATGAGGGAAGGTGAGAGTTTGGCAACTCATCTTCAAACTCTGAAATCTCTGTTTCTTCAACTACAACAGAGAGGTAAGCGTTATGATGAGACTGACCAAACCTACATTATCCTTTCAAGTTTGCCTGAAAGCTGGTTGCCTGTGATTAACAGCATGGAGAGTATGCGTCCCCGAGATCTGACCCTTGAGTATATGTAGTTGGCAGATTGACTGAAGAAGCAGAAAGAAGGTCAGATAAACAAGCTGAACTCCAAGAGCGGAGGAGTTATAGCCGAGGGGGCCAGCAGCAGAATCTGTCCATGGAGCAACACCAAGGTTTGGACTTGGCCATGGCGGTGAGGAGGTGCTATAGATGCAACCAACCCGGGCATCTCCAACGTCAATGCAGGGCTAGACTTCCAGGAGACGACGTGGAGCAGAGACAGCAATCAACGCAGAAACGTAAGCAGAAGGGGTTCTCTTCAGTGAAGAAGAACACGCGTTCTGCTCAGTTTGTGTCTGCATTTTCTCGGGAGGAGAGGAAGATACCTCGAGGAACATGGTTGCTGGACTCTGGGAGCAGCAGGATTATCTGCAACAGTCGGGAGGACTTTAAGACCCTGGGGAAGCCAGCTGATGGAAAAGACTCAATCTATCTTGCTGATGGTCGTAGAAGCAAGATTGATGGCCAGGGAACATGTTTCCTGCAGTGCTTGAACACTACTCTACCAGAGACTCTGTTTGTCAGCAGTTTGGACTATTGTTTACTGTCTGTAAGCTGTTTGATTAATGCAGGATATAGTGTTAACTTCACACGGGATGGTTGTCTGATAAAGAATGGAACTCAGGTATGTGGCCATACAAAGTTGGAAAATGGGTTATATGTAATGCAGGACAAGCCTGTTAAAGCAGCCCAGGTGGTTTAGAATAATTTGCCAGTTCATAAGGGATGTGTACATGAACTGAACAGAAAACTGGGTCATGCCAATTTCCGTTTGCTTTCAGAAATGCAAAAGGTGTGCAAGAACCTAAAAGTAAATAGCTGTAACTGTTTCCTAGATTGCAATGTATGTAAAATGGCCAAATCTAAGAGGAAGCCTGTGGCTTCTAAAAGTGACAGAGTATCTAGAAGTTTTAGAACTTGTCCATTGTGATTTTCCACAGAAGACTGAAGGGGTTGCCAGATATGCTTTTCTGGTAATAGATGATAAATCACGTTTTAGTTGGTTGTTTTTGTTAAAGCAGAAATCTGAGTGTTTCCCCACATTCAGAGAATGGGTTGCCCAAGCTGAAAAGCTCTTTGCTCGCCCTGTTGTGCAGTTGCAAACAGATAGGGGTGGAGAATTTCTGAACAAACAATTTGGGGCATAGTTGCGGCGTAAGGGGATCACTCATCGTTTGACTAACCCTTATAGCCCTGCTGAAAATGGTCTGTGGGAAAGACGTGGGGCTGTGATACAGTCAGTAAAGGACTGCCTGCTAGTGGATGCAGGATTGGGCCACAACCATAGGCTGTGGGGCGAGGCTCTCCTTACAGCGAACTTTTTGATTAATAGAACCTGGTCTAGCTCTATAAAATATATTCCTTATTGTCTGTTGTTTGGGAAAGAACCAGAGTGGACAATGCTCCATAACTGGGGTTCTTGGGCACATGTAAATATTCCCAAAGCTCAGCACCAGAAAGGGGGGCGCTAGAGCACAGAAACTGCGGTTTGTGGGATATCAGTCCTATGGCAAAGGGTGGCGCTTCAATTTATGCCCAGGACGCGTAGTTCTGTCACGAAGTGCAGACTTTGCTGACCAGGACAGATGGACTGCGATCCATGCCAACCCAGATTGCCTACTGCCCCTGCAAGTAAAAGAAGAGGCTTCTTCTCGGCCATTGGAAACGCAGGAGCAGGATGAGGAGGAGGCACAGATTTCCCCAAAGGATGTTGCAATAGATAATATTTCTTCTCTAGATGAAGAGGAAGAAGAGCCAGAGATAAGGGGGGGGGAGTAGTTGTGCCTAGGCGCTCCCAGCGTTCAAACAAGGGTGTACCTTCTCAGCATTTGACCCAAGGAGTAGTGAGAGTATGCAATGTGAGTTGTGTGGAACCACAAAGTTATAATGAAGTCTTAGACTTACCCCCTGAAGAACGTGCTTTGTGGGAACAAGCTATGAAAGAAGAAATGGACTCTTTTAAACGTAACAAAGTGTTTGAGGTCATAATGCTGCCTCCAAGTGGCAGAGTGGTGTCATGCAAGTGGGTTTACAAAAGGAAAACCCTTGCATCTGGGGAACCACGTTTTTGAGCCAGATTAGTAGCCAGAGGGTTCACTCAGATAAAAGGGGAGAGTTAGGGTTAGGGTTAGGGTTAGGGTTAGGGTTAGGGTTAGGGTCTCCCACTGCAAAGAGTGAAACTTTTCGTTTAATGCTCTCTATTGATGCTGTAAGACAACTAGCAGTGCACCATTTTGATGTTGATGCTGCATATCTGCATGCAAATTTAGACCATGAAGTGTTAATGAGACAACCCCCTGGTTTTGAAGAGGAGAATGGTGCAGTCTGGCGTTTGAGAAAGGCTGTTTATGGTCTCAAACAAAGTGGAAGGTGTTGGAACCAGTTTTTAAATGAAGCCCTTGTAAAACTTGGTTTTGAAAGGAGTGTGGCTGATCCATGCCTGTACACCAAGGGGACAGGCAACAAATATCTAATGCTCTTAGTCTTTGTTGATGATTTGCTTGTAGCAGGGAGTTCCACAGTTGAGATCCAGAAGCTCACAAGTCAACTGGAAAAGAGGTTTAAGCCTAAAGCCTTGGGGCCTGTAAGCAATTACTTGGAAGTAGAAGTAAGGCAGGAAGCTGATGGAAGCTTTCTATTAAGCCAGAAAGAGAAAATTCTTCATTTGATAGAGCAGTTTGGCATGGAAAACTGCAAGCCAGTTCAGACTCCCATGACACCAGATTTCCCAAAGACAGTGTGTGATGATGAATTTGATCAGCTTGAGTTGTATCACTCAAAAATAGGATCACTGTTGTATTTAAGGCAGTGGTCAAGGCCAGACATTGCATGTGCTACAAATGTTCTGAGCCAACGTGTATCTAAACCCAGTACTGCCGATGGGTGTGCTTTGAAAAGGCTTATCAGATACCTAAAGGGGACATTAAATGTGTGTTTAAAGATATCTAGTACACAAGATGAAAAACTAGAAGTATTTTTTGATGTGAACTGGGGAAGCTGTGTAGCTACTAGAAAATCTACAAGTGGAATGGTTATGTTTGCCAATTCCATAATTGAATGGAGGTCAAAAAAACAAGGATTTGTTGCAACCTCATCCTGTGGGGCAGAATATGGGAGCCTGTCGCTAGCATGCAATGAAATCATATGGTTTATACAGATACTAAAAGATCTAGATTGTAAAGTAGATTTGCCTATCCAAGAGTATGAAGATAGCCAATCGTGCATTGCATTAGCGGGCTCGGAAATAATGAAATCCGCATCAAAACATATTGCTATCCGTCATGCGAATGTGAGAGGTTGTGTACAGAATGGGGTAATCAAACTGGAGTATTGTCAGTCACAAGATAATATTGCTGATTTGTTTACCAAGCCTTTGCCAGCAACATGTCTTAATGAATTGATGACAAAACTGGGTTTATGTATATAGTGTATGTATGTATTGTATGTATGTATTGTTTCTGTTAGGGCTTTTCGCATTTAAGAAACAGAAGGGGTGTCACGGATAAATGGCCGCTGTTTCTTTAATGCGAATAAAGCTGGGTCAGCATGACTCAGCGGCTTGCACCAAGTTGTATATATAGAGTGAGAAATGTTAGTTTGGTTGCTGGTGTTTGGGTTGGTTAGTGCTGCTGTGTATAGTTGTTCAGTTGCTTTTGAACAAAGACTTTTAAGAATAAAACTCTGCAAGGATATTCTCGTGGACTCTCTTGTGCCGACAAGGGTCCGAGGACCAGGCTGAAGAGACAAAGGGAGGTCAGAACCCTTACCTCCTTTTTTGCTTTTTACAAACACTGACAGTTGCTATGCACCTCCTGGGGCCCAAGGGACTGTGGGGGTGATTCATAAATATCCAGAGGTCCAAAGGGCTAAAATGTGCCCCAGAGGTGGAATAATATTACACAGAGAATGAAAAATGTCATTAGCAACTCTGATTCTGAGAAATGGAGGGCACGTTCGTGGAAGAACAACTCCCTTTCCTGTGAGGCAGGTCCTTATTTAAAAAGGCAACCCCACAACTGTATTCTTAGATGAAACTACTTTATTAATGATGATTTAGTATTATGGAAGGTTGATGATGCGTTCCTATTATTTGGCATTGTTTCACCTCATTTGCTTAAAATTTGGAACATAAAGAAGACAGGGAGGAATGTACAATAGGTTGAAATAAGAGAAGGTGCTAATTGCATTTGATGTGTGTTACAGTCTTTGTTCTCTTCCTTGAAATACTAACAGGGGTTTCCTCTCCTCTCATTTCCAAGCAGGTTATGGAGAAGACAGTGTGTCATCTGTAATTTCATTTGGAAATACGAAGAGACCATTTAAATGTGGTGAATGTGGAATGTGCTTCAGTCAATGTGCACAGTTAATAAACTCACAGAGTGGGGAAGCCGTTTAAAGGTATGGAGTGTGGAAAGAGCTTCAGACAAACTTCATCTCTTACTTTACATCGTCTAACTCACATGAGTGAGAAACCCTACAAATGTATGCAGTGTGGATGGAGATTCAGTATGAGTAGACAACTTATTGTACATCAAAGGATTCACGCAACAGAAAAACCATTTAAATGTATAGAGTGTGGAAAGAGCTTCTGTCATAGCATAACGCTAAGCAACCATCAACGGACTCACACAGGGGAGAAACCATTTAAATGTATAGAGTGTGGAAAGAGCTTCTGTCATAGCATAGTGCTAAGCAAGCATCTACGGACTTACACAGGGGAGAAACCATTTAAATGTATGGAGTGTGGAAAAAGCTTCCGTAAGAGTTTATCACTTAATAGACATCATCAAACTCACATGGGTGAAAAACCCTACAAATGTATGCAGTGTGGAAAGAGCTTCACACATAATGGAAACCTTAGCAACCATCAACGGACCCACACAGAGGAGAAACCATTTAAATGTATGGACTGCGGAAAGAGATTCACACATAATGGAATCCTTAGCAACCATCAGCGGACCCACACAGGGGAGAAACCATTTAAATGTATGGACTGCGGAAAGAGCTTCAGACATAATGGAAACCTTAGCAAACATCTACAGACTCATACAGGGGGGGAACCATTTAAATGTATCGAATGTGGAAAGAGCTTCACACATAATGGAAACCTTAGACAACATCTACAGGCTCATACAAGGAAGAAACCATGTAAATGTATTGAATGTGGAAAGAGCTTCAACAGTGGTAGAAATCTTAGACAGCATCAATGGACTCACACAGGGGAGAACCCATTTAAATGTATGGTCTGCGGAAAGAGCTTCACACATAATGGAAGCCTTAGACAACATCTACGGATTCACACAGGGGAGAACCCATTTCAATGTATGGACTGCGGAAAGAGCTTCACACATAATGGAAGCCTTAGACAACATCTACAGACTCACACAGGGAAGAAACCATATGAATGTATGGAATGTGGAAAGAGCTTTCGTTCAAGTGATCATCTGACTTTACATCATAGAACTCACACAGGGGAGAAACCATTTAAATGTATGGACTGCGGAAAGAGCTTCACACATAATGGAAACCTTAGAAAACATTTACGGAGTCACACAGGAGAGAAACCATTTAAATGTATGGAGTGTGGAAAAAGTTTCAGTCAGAGTTCATCACTTAATAGACATCATCAAACTCACACGGGTGAGAGACCTTGTAAATGTTTGGAATGTGGAAAAAGCTTTCGTTCAGGTGATCGTCTGACTTTACATCATCGAACGCACACAGGGGAGAAACCATTTAAATGTATGGAGTGTGGAAAGAGCTTCAGTCAAAAGGGAACTCTAAGACTACATCAACAGACTTGCACAGGGGGGAAACCATTTAAATGTATGGAGTGTGGAAGGAGCTTCTGTCATAGTGGAACGCTAAGTAATCATCAAAGGACTCACACAGGGGAGAAACCTTATACAGCAAATGTATGAAGTGTGGAAAGAGCTTCAGTCTAAAGGAAACTAAGAGTACATTAACAGACTCACAGGTGAGAAACCATTTAAATGTATGGAGTGTGGAAAGAACTTCAGTCAGAGTGGACACCTTACAAAACATCAATGGACTCAGAAAGGAAGAAACATTTAAATTCCAGGAGTGCAGAAACTGCTTCTGTTTAATGGAGTACTTACAAAATGTTTACGGACTTATATGGAAGGAACCATTTAGATGTATGGAGTGTAGAAAGATTTATCCTCAACAAGAGGAGGAGGAGTTTGGATTTGATATCCCCCTTTATCACTACCCTAAGGAGTCTCAAAGCGGCTAACATTCTCCTTTTCCTTCCTCCCCCACAACAAACACTGTGTGAGGTGAGCGAGGCTGAGAGACTTCAGAGAAGCGTGACTAGCCCAAGGTCACCCAGCAGCTGCGTGTGGAGGAACGGAGACGCGAAACCGGTTCACCAGATTACAAACCACCGCTCTTAACCACTATACCACACTGGCTCTCTCAAGGGTTCATTTCTTCCTTCTAATGAACAGGCTCCTATAGGTGGAAATCAAATTTAAATGCATCCCATGTATGTGATGATCTGGTGTTTTAATGTAAAGTTGTACTTTCATGTAGTAAAGTAATCAAGGTAGCTTATCACAATAGTTAGTAATGTATAAATGGCTTTGTACATCGTACCTCAGGTTACGAACAGCCTGGTTGATGAACATTTTGGATCATGACAATTTCAAACCCGGAAATGAGTTGCTTAAACTAGTATTATAGGAATGGCAGCATGACATGCATTGCTTTAATTGCGGCCCAGGACCCACGTACCTACGGGACCGCCTCTCCTGGTATGCCCCGTGGAGGACCTTAAGGTCCACAAATGACAACATTTTGGAGGTCCCAAGTCGCAAGGTGGTTAGATTGGTCACAAGTAGGGCCAGGGCCTTTTCAGTACTAGCCCCGACTTGGTGCAACGCTTTGTCACAAGAGACTAGGGCCCTGCGGGATTTGACATCTTTCTGCAGGGCCTGCAAGACAGAGCTGTTCCACCTGGCCTTTGGTTTGGACTCAGTCTGACCATTGTGTTTACCTCCTCTTATGGTTTTGATCTGTGGGCTACTTTTAAAAATGAGGCTGTATTTTAAATTGCATTTTAACCTGTATTTTAAATTGGTATGGTTTTTTTCCCTATTATGTTTTTACTGCAATTTTACTGGTGTTAGCCGCTCTGAACTTGGCTCTGCCCGGGGAGGGCGGGGTATAAATAAAACCTATTACCGTATTTTTCGCTCTATAGGACGCATTTTCCCCCCTCCAAAAATGAAGGGGAAATGTGTGTGCGTCCTATGGAGCGAATGCAGGCTTCAGGCAGCTATACGCAAGCCTTCTGAGCGCTCCGAAGGCTTGCGGATAGCTCCCTGTTCTGGGGGCTGGGGTTGGGGGAAGCTCGGGCTTTCCCCGTCCCAGCCCCGCGGCTAAAAACAAAGCCGTGCGCAGCTTCTCCCGGCTGGACAGGTTGTGCGTGGCTAAAGAGGAAGCCAAGACAGCTGTCTTGGCTTCTTTGCTTTTGGGGGCTGTCGGGGGGGGAAATAATTTTTTTTCTTTATTCCCACCCCACCCCCCTAAAAACTAGGCACACCGTATGGTCCGGTGTGCCCTATGGGGCGAAAAATACGGTAGTAATAATAATAATAAAGCAACAAATAGTTTATACATTAATTGTGCTGCAATGACTCCTGATTCTTTGAAGGGCAAATTGTTCAGGTAAAACATACCTGGTGGCAGCAGGAATAAAGGGGATGTTTAGATCAGAAGGTTGGCAGTTCCAGTCCCCCGATAGGGTGAGTTCCCGTTGCTCGGTCCCAGCTCCAGCCAACCTAGGATTTCGAAAGAACGAATTGTAAGTAGATAAATAGGTACTGCTCCGGCGGGAAGGTAAACGGCGTTTCTGTGCGCTGCCGTGGTTTGCCAGAAGCGGCTTAGTCATGCTGGCCACGACCCGGAAGCTGTACGCCGGCTCCCTCGGCCAATAAAGCGAGATGAACATCGCAACCCCAGAGTCGTCCGCGACTGGACCTAATGGTCTGGGGTCCCTTTACCTTTACCTTTTAGTGGAATAAGGAAGAAAGTCTCAGCTCTTAGGTGTGCATCTTGCATGAGGTGGGACGGTTGGAACAGGGCAGTGTGGGCAAGTGGCAGGTGACACGAGAGGGTGTAAAATACATGAGTGGAAACTCATGCCTGATTGTCCCCAACTTAGCACCCAGAGGGGAGAAACCATAGGAGAACTTCCTACAAATCCATGAACCAAGACATACCTACTATTACAGGAAACAAGAAACCAATAGGGCACAGAGAGGGGTCGAAGTGTGAAGGGAAAGTTAACCCTTACCTCTCCATCTGTGGCCCAAACACAACTCCACTGGAAGAATGGTACACATTTGGAAAGAAAAGATGCTGCAGGTACCAGTGAATCCCCTGGTCGGTCCATTTTCACTTATAAGCATCATGGGGCTACCCCAGGGCTACTGCTTTTGTGACAAGCAATCATCATCATCATCATCATTGATTGGGTTGCCCCAGACACTCTGGAGTCTTCTAAAAGTTATGTACTGTGGTTCTTTATCTGCATGGCATCTGAATACATCTCATGGGAGAGCATTTCACAGGGCGGGCGCCACCACCAAGAAGGCCCTCTGCCTGCTTCCCTGTAACTTTCTTCTTGGAGTGAATGAACCAGCAGAAGACCCTCGGAGCTGGATCTCAGTGTCTGGGCTGAACAATGGGGTGGATTTCTTCCATCAGGGCCAAGGCCAATTAGGGTACGCACCAACACTGAATTGCGCTCAGAAACGTACCAGGAGCCAATGCAGGTCTTTCAGGACCAGTGTTATATGGTCCTGGCGGCTGCTCCCAGTTACCAGTCCAGCTGCCACATTCTGAATTAGTTGTAGTTTCCAAGCCACCTTCTAAGGCAGCCCCACGTAGAGCGCATTGCAGTCATCCAAGCGGGTGATAAACAGAGTATGCACCACTCTGGCAAGACACTCTGTGGGCGGGCAGGGTCTCGGCCTGCGTACCAAATGGAGCTGGTAAACAGCTGCCCTGGACACAGAATTGACCTGCGCCTCCATGGACATCTGCGAGTCCAAAATGGCTCCCAGGCTGCGCACCTGGTCCTTCAGGGGTACAATTACCCCATTCAGGACCAGTGAGCCCTCCACACCCGCCTGCCCCCTGCCCCTCAAAAACAGTACTTCCTTCTTGTCAGGATTCAACCTCCGTCCATAAACTGCCATCCATCCTCCAACTTCCTCCAGACACTCACACAGGACCCTCACTGCTTCTGATTTGAAAGAGAGGTAGAGCTGGGTATCATCCGCATACTGATGAACACCCAGCCCAAACCCCCTGATGGTCTCTCTCAGCAGTTTTATATGCATGTTAAAAAGCATGGGGGAGAGGACAGAGCCCTGAGGCACCCCACAAGTGAGAGCCCAGGGGTCTGAACACACATCTGCCAGAAACCACAGGAGATCTCGGACCAGCTAGAGCAAGGCAGTTTCAGTCTCAGGGTGGGGCCTGAAACCCGACTGGAAGGGGTCCAAGTGATGTGCTTCCTCCTATCCAACTTGGTTGCTTTTGCATGTATGGTGCATCCGTAGGCATTTTTTTAAAAAGTAGCACAGGCTAGCGTTTCATTTTCCTTAATTTTTTTAGAGGTAGAAGCCCTGCCAACATGCAACCCTTGCAAAAAGAGAGATCTGTTTCCTGCTGGGGTGGGTGGGGGGGCGCAATCTTGTTATACGTCTTGTTCCCTTCAGGATTAAAGCCAGTTAATGCAATTTCCCAGAGGGAAAGAGAGAAAGGGAGGCTAGGTGCTCGCCCTCCCCATCGCCCAGCACCTTCCCCTAGAAAGGGGGCGTGGCTTACAAGAAAGACTGCCCCTCCCCCTCACACCTCCTGCCGCCCTTGACCTCCCAGGAATCGGGCTGACTGCAAAGCGCCTTGGGGCGCTGCAAACTTTTGTTTTTGGTGGGGGGTACAACGTCGGTGGCGATGGCGCATGGGAGGCGCTGTGGGTTAAACCACAGAGCCTAGGACTTGCCGTTCGGAAGATCGGAGGTTCGAATCCCCTTGACGGGGTGAGCTCCAGTTGCTCGGTCCCTGCTCCTGCCAACCTAGCAGTTCGAAAGCACGTCAAAGTGCAAGTAGATAAATAGGTATCGCTCCGGCGGGAAGGGTAAGCGGCGTTTCCGTGCGCTGCTCTGGTTCACCTGAAGCGGCTTAGTCATGCTGGCCACATGACCTGGAAGCTGTAAGCCGGCTCCCTCAGCCAGTAAAGCGAGATGAGCGCCGCAATCCCAGAGTCAGCCACGACTGGACCTAATGGTCAGGGGTCCCTTTACCTTTACAATGTCGGTGGGATGTGGGGGCAGAGGGAGAGAGAGCAGACCGGGAAACTGCTGGACAGGTGAGGAAAGAGAGATTCTCCACCCCCCTAAATGAAGGTAGGTGGGTGCACACCTGGTTCACCCTCGTTGCAGAGAAGAGCCAGGGAATGTCTCTGAAGGTGCATACACACAAACACACGCACGTGTGAACGCGCGCGCACAGAACATAAGGCCCTATAGTTGGATCAGACCAAGGGTCCCATCTCGCCCCGAATCCTGCTCTCCCGGAGTCCCAGTGGGAAACCAGATGCCCGTTTTGGGAATCCTGCAAGGAGAATTTCAGCCCAAAAGCATCTCTCCCCTCCCTGCTCGGTGGTCCAGGCAGCAGCTGGAAAATGCTGTCTGCAGAGTTTGGAGTCTGTCTGGGTTCTCTTTCAGGGACCAAAGGGTCTTGATCCTGCCCTCCTCCTCCTCCAGAAACCCCCTCCCCGTCAATGGGGTGGGCGTGGAGTTGGGCAACTTCGCAAGGGAGCCCAAAAGGGGAGGAAGCCGAAGGCAGCGCCGTCACGTCCGGCTCCCATGCGAAAAGTGGAAGGGACTTCTCGCAGGAAGGGGTCACTCTGTGGGTCGGAAGTTTGCAGGAAATGGGGAGGGGGGCAGAAGGAGCCCCTGGAGAAGCGAGAGGTTTCAGAAAGGTAAAGAGGGGCGCCAGTCGACCACGGACCCCCCTTCTCCGCTTTATATTGCAGAAAGGAAATCGGAATAGCTACGAAGGGAGGCGGATGGTCAGAGGAGAAAGAGGTAAAGATGCCGGTGGAAGGAGGGGGGGAGGAAAAGGATAGAGAGACCCTTTCTTGCTCCCCCAAAAGCTCCTGCCTTGGGACGAGGGCGGGGAGGGGCG